GATAGATAGATAGATAGATAGATAGATAGATAGATAGATAGATAGATTCATAGATAGATTCATAGATAGATTCATAGATAGACAGACAAACAGATAGATGATAGGGTAGATGATAGACAAATTTTTCTTAATGCTATTTGCTTTGTTCTTGATATTTACAACTAAATTCAAAATGCATTTATAGTTTGCAAAGGAATTATGAAATAAATGCCAATATTTTAGTGAACTTTTACTTTTAACTTATTGTTTCAGTTTTGCATATTCTGTTTTTAAACTATTTATTATATTTTATCTGTTTACCTAGCAGATGTAAAGATATATATTTTGTTAAATATACTGAATTACGAGCTTTAGAGGTAAGGTAAATAAAATTATGTTGAGCTATACTGTATGTAGCCAAAAGCAGAGAAGGAAAATATCAACAGTCAAAATGTAGTTTTCTTGCTAAATCAAACTCTTTGGCAATATTAATATATGTTAAGAGAATGTGAAATGTAGCTGAGTAACTATTTGTGCAATTATGTAAACCCACTGACTGACATCAGTAAAGAGGACTCCCAGAATATGACACCAGCCAGACTTAAGGAAACCCTATTAAGTAAAGGGATATCCTTTGCATAAAAGTAGCACAAGTAAGCATGCCTAACATTAACCAATTCAACAAGTGAGATAATTGTAAACATATAATTTATAAACATGCAATAATCCCATTGTTATATTTTAAGTTCAGATGCATTTCATGAAATAAACTTAATGATTCTGGTGAAAGTACAAGTTGAAAGCAACCATAGTACCTAAAGCAAAACAGAAAGACCATAAACATAATAGGAAGACGGGAGCCAAGGTGGCGCAGTGGTTAGAGTGCAGTACTGTGGGCTACTTCTGCTGACTGCCAGTTGCCTGCAATTTGGCAATTCAAATCTCGCTAGGCTCAAGGTTGACTTAGCCTTCCCAGATCAATAAAATGAGAAATCGGATTGTTGGGGACAATATGCTGACTCTGTAAACCACTTAGAGAGGGCCGTAAAGCACTGTAAAGTGGTATATAAGTCTATACATCACAGCTAACTGATACACTCTAATAACATCTGCTTGGACATGTCCCAGCCTATCACAGAGCCAAGTTTTCAAGGCTCATATAAAGGATCATGGGGTTGGGAAGTTCTCTTCTCTGGAGAGCAAACATCAACAAAGAATCCACTCTTCCTAGGTCCTATTAGATAGTATTCTTGAAACTTGTGAGAGGAAAGATGCCCACTCTAGCTGATCTTATGGGATGGGCAAAAACAGTGGAAAAGTGGCTTTGAAAGTAAGAACCAGAACTTTGAATTGTACCCAGAAGCTCAATAACAACCAGTGTGACTCATGTAACAGAGGAGTTACATGACTGCACTTAAGTGTTGCCATAATTGTATAACCATTGCATTCTAGATCACTGTCCATCCAAGTCACACTTCACCCAAAATTTCACTTACTCATGTGCTTGCCATCGATTTTTAATTTAATAGATAGATGATAGACAATAGAAGATAGATGATAAGACAGACAGATCGATGATAGATAGACAGACGGATGAATAATAGAAAGACAATGAGAGAAAGAGACAGAGAGAGAGACTATTTAGGATTGAATGGAAGGCGAGCATGTTCATTACTAGGCTACCATGCTGCTCCAATGTGATGCAGCATAACTATTCAAAAATATGCAGCCATGTAGCTTTATCAAGTAACAAATAGCATTATTTCTATTTCTGAGTGAAAACAAAAATTAAACTTATTAGATGAGTTCACAGCCATAGCACATAGCTGCGTAGGATTGGCTGATATGGGTAAAGGATGATTATTAAGTAGAAGGTTGACAGGAGGCTGTAGTAATAAGAGCTGAGTAGTAAAAGATCAGGAAGCAGTATAGCAAAGGGAATTGTAATTGTTATCTCTTTATCAGCAATAATAGTCATACAATAGTCAGGGGTCTATATATGAGTGTATTGATGATGGGATTAGGAATAACCAAGACATTATTCTGATCCATCTGTACCTTCCCATTAGATTTTCCACAGGAGAACAGTAGCTTAAAAATGGCTTGTGGCTCTTGGCTCATGTGAATCAAAGTTCAAAGCCTTTATTGTCATTGTACATCATGTATACAACAAAATTGAATCCCTGACAGGATTTGGGGGCTGTTTCTGAAGAAATAACCAGGGCATCTAGGTTAGTGCTGTTTAAGCTCAGACACCTTAAGATGTGTGGCTGTGGAATTCTGGGAGTTGAAATCCACCCCCCTTAAACTGCTGAGGTTGAAAAACTAGTTTAAAACCATGTTTTATTAATATAAATATGGGCCAAAAGAGAAATATAAAATGCCCAGTTTAACATATTTGTCTATTTGTGAACAGATGATATGGAGACCATGATGTATAATAAATGGAATATAATTCTTTCCTTCAGGAAGAAAATATAATTATGTGGCACAAGCTATTCAAATATATGCAGCCAGATAGCTTTATCATGTAACAAATAGCATTATTTCTGTTTATGAGCGAAAACAAACATTTTTTGCCAAGTTGGGTAATATGCTTTGGACCTGCGCTATAGGCAAAAGTGAGAACTCCAGTCTATACATCACTATGAACTATATAGTTTCCCTGTATGTGCTAATTCCATAAAATTATAATTTACTTTCTGAATAGCATTGAGTAATTGCCAATGATACATTGGTATAGTCACAGTACAACTGAATTTTTACAGTTTTAACATTGCCTCTGCTTAACAAGAAGGCAGGACTTAGCCAATCTTGACTGATCTCACAAAGTTAAACAGAATCGAAAACTTGTTTGTATTTTGATGAGAGATAACAAAATTGCAGGGCTGTAGGCTGGAATGAGATATTTAAAAAGTGAACCACATTGAAATTTCCATTTAGTGACAGGAGTCAAAGTTTACTTTTTAATTACTATTTTTTTCTTAGCTTTCTAAACTGCAGGGTAGATTAAAATGAAACCAGGACAATCACAGAATATTTTCTACAATAGATTTGCCATTTTTATTTTCCTATTTTGCTATGGAAATATAGCTGTGAGACCCACCAGCTTATTAAAGAAGATCAACCTACATCATTTTCATAAGCACAATAACATTAAAAAGTTAATATGCCTCTAGTAGAAAAACAGGGGAAATTGGAACAAAAACACAGAAAAAGTAAACATATTTATTTAAATACTGTTTATAGCTGATCTTGAATTTTGTGGAGGGAATTCTCCTACCCCCAAGGTACAACTTCAATATCATATAATCAGTGAAAACTAAGATGACCTAGTGCTTCGGGGCTGCATATCAAGTATCCACAAACTTAGGTTTAATGTTTAGTTTTTGCTTCCATAAATACAGGCATAGTACACCAAGCATATTTGTGGGTACCCATTGTTTTTAAAATGCATTCTCTGAACTAATGTAAATACAGGTACATGTCTATTAAATGAGATCAGTGTTTAAATAATTGTCATTTTCGAAATGATTAGAATGGAACTGTTGAGTCAGGGAGCATGTAGGATTCTCTTTGAAAGAAGGAGGGAAGCAAAACCACAGGAAGCCATATCTTAAAGCCTGTTTTGTGAAAAATGTGAGCTGCCAAACAGAGTAATGGGATCTCTCTTGGATAATTTGCTTGTCTTTATAAGTTAATGGACATTCACAGTAGATTTGAATTAGTATTCATAGAGTTTTCTGCCTTGTTTTTAAAGGAATCTGACCCTAGTTTCATATTGCATTATCGCTAGCTGGGTACTATTTTTGTCCCTTTCTTCATCTCAAATAATTGGCAGAACCTGTTAGGTTAGGAGATATGAAAGTGATACATAAAAAGAGAGGGCTGGATTCCCGTCCTTGGTTCTTACAAGTGTCCCTTGGCCAAGTCTCTTTTACACTGTTTTTTTCTTAACATTTTAGGGGATCAATAAACCTAATCAAAAGACAAGGAAGATTAAGATGATATATTCATGTCTGAATAAATAACTTTATACTTTGACAATACTTCACTCTGCATAATAAATGTTCTGTTTGACCTGGCAAACAGGCTCTTTCTATGCCCAGACCAGTGTTTCTCAACTTTGAATTCTGGGAACTGGAACCCTCACATATTAAAGTTGTCCAAGTTGAGAAATACTGTCCTAGGTTATCTAGAAGTCAGATCCAGAGGTGGTATTCAGCAGGTTCTGGCCAGTTCTGGAGAACCGGTAGTGGAAATTTTGAGTAGTTCAGAGAACTGGTAAATACCACCTCTGACTTGCCCTGCCCCCCTCTATTCTCTGCCTCCTGAGTCCCAGCTGATTGGCTGGGTCTTCTTTTGTTGCCCTGCACAGGAGAACGGAGCTGGAAATCAGGTTAGTGGGGTGGGGAGGGAATGGGATTTTGCAGTAACCTTCCCCTGCCACGCCCACGAAACCACGCCTACAGAACTGGTAGTAAAAAATTTTGAATCCCCCCACTGGTCAGATCCCATTCTAGACAACAGCCTTATCTTTTGTAATATGGATGCCTCTTGATATGATCATGTGTGTATGAAACACCAGG